AAATGCAAAACGAATTCAGCACGGCAATTGAAAAGTTTTTGATGCATCGACAAACTTGTCTCTGCTCCAAAATCGTAAGGGACTGGCATGCTGCCAAACTTAGCCCCACTCTGTGCCCCATTGTTGGCCCTTTGTTCGCCGTGGTCAACAAATAAAAAAAGTTTTATTGGAAAAATCAGTTGGGTCTCACAAACATCTCTAAACAACAAGAGGAGCTGAGCATGGTTTGCACTCACGATGCACTCGCAGGTATACTTTGGTCTTCTTTTTTTGTATTTAATTGTGGAAAGCAATGCCCTTAAAAAATATACAATGTCCTTGCATATGTAAATAAATTAGTGAGTAAATCGTGTGTGTACTGAAAGAAACATTTAAGAAATTCTCCAGTTTAATCTTTAAATATAATTTATAAACAAGTTTAAAAAGATATATTTTTCAGCTACATTAAAGGATTTTTATTTGCAGCACATATTCCTATAACATGTAGCTAAATATGTTTAATAGCTGCATATTCTAAAAGTGTAAATAATTTTCCATATATACTTGTATAAGCTGCTTTGCATCGCACATTTAATACAAACTACAATTTCATCCATTGCCTTCCAATATGACGACCTACTATCTCAGCTCAATACATATGTATATGTAAGCAAAAGAGACACAGGTTCGGCCCCATGCTGGGCGTCTTTTAATTAATCTCATACACGTGTCCTTATTGGGACATTTTCCGATTGCTTTAAATTAAGCTCCTTAGCGGCCCCTCCTTACCTGTTCAGGCAAACTACTCTGTTTATCCACAAAACTTTGTGTGTGCAGATTTGTTTCTCCAAGCATTTGGAAAATTCATTTTTTGTTTTTATTTTCATACCCTATACCTAAAAGATACTACAAAAGTTATATGAGGTTTGTGGAAATTGACAAATGTAACAGAGAGCAGGAAGACCTCAGAGACTATGGGATGCGTCATATGTGTCATATGAAGTACAAGCGTATTTTTTATCCCCCACTCTCACGCTATTAGTGATTTTCCATAACTCCCGTAGTTCTTGGAATTTGTTGCTCAAAAGTTGTTCCTTTTTTTTGTAGTAGTGTGAACAGGGTATGGGACCTCTACTCGACTTTAGCATTCCATGCTCTTTTTTTTTTTGTAAACAACATAAGTGAAGTGAAGTGCGATGACCAACTTGAGGCCCCTCGATTTATGCTTGTAACTTGTGTGGCAGCATAGCAGGAAACCTCAAATTTCAGGGCTCGTAGCGTCTGTTGTGGCAGCTCCTGTTTACCCCTCGCCCGCAGGCGATTTAGAGCAAGCACTACTAAAATATAAAAGAAACAAAGCTGAATGCGTCTGGCAGCTATAGAGCGAGCGAGCACACAAAAACACGCCTTCATACATACATACGAGTAATACTACAAGGCGGTTGCTTTCTAGCTAACTGCACTCAATTTTCTACATAGCTTGGTTAAGGTTTTTGCTTCTTCTCGTTTCCTTTCCTATCCAAACTTCATGCACGCACCAAGAACACTAACAACAACAATTTGGCAACTTGAGACGCCAGAAAAAACCGCCCAAACATTGGGGCATTGCCCAAGTGCTTTTCACCAGCCGCAAAATTCCAACAGTAGCCACATTATGCAGAGGCAGGCAACAGGAGGAGAAACTGAAAAGGATAACGAAAGGCGCATACCATTCAAACTTTGAGCCTTCGACACTTGAATATCGGACGCAAGCCAAAATACTGTGGAACTTTATGAAATAGTTGTATAAAAAAACATTTAGATTGGACATCTTTTAGGTTCAGGTGAAGTTATGTTTGAACAGGTCAGGTCAAGACTGGTAGGGTCAGGTTAAGGTTAGGTATTAAAAAAATGATCTGCCCAACATTGAATTAAATAGAGCTATATATGTAAGCAGACAATTTATAGTTCCAATAATCTAAAAATGGGGGGGGGGGGGGCTATTATATAGACTAATTGCATGTCAGTTTGTTATTATTTAAGTGTTATGTTGAGATTTTTACACTTACTATAAATGCAACAACCCTCGACCTGTGCACAATTCAGTGCCAGTATTTACATCCTGCCAAGAATCCGGCATCGGTCTACGTTATGTTTTGTTGAAAGTAATATAATTTAGTTTTCAGTTCCCGCACCCCCACCCCCGTGCGGCTACATTTTCTTGGCCTTTCATTGCGTTGAATAGCATCCGCAGCGCATATTAAATAAAGTTGTCTTTTGCTGCCAGCCGCTTTATGCTCTCGTCCTGTTGCCAGAGGCTATCCAATTGGACAGCGCACCTGACGCACGCAACAGACGGCGACAGTTAGATAAAGTTTCGCATTTTATTCCACGGCAATTTTGTTGCTCCTTAATGCGTGCAGCGGCCGCAGCCGCAGCCGCGAGCGACGCGTGTTTCTGTTTTTAAATGGCGCCCGGAATAGGGCTGCTCCGTTCGCTTCAGTGGCAATCATTAAAGCTTCTGCGTGTGCAAATAAATCAGCTAATGGTTTTTTTGGAACATGTTTCCTGCCACCAAATCCAATGCACCAGAATTCATAAAATTTGTATGAAGTCTTCGTATTAGCGAACGCAATTGAGCGAAAGCACAACACAAATCCTATGCATCGAAGTTCGTTAAAAATGCATTAAGTTTTAAATGTAGTTTAAGGCTTCATTTGCGGTTTAGCGAAAATATGTAGAGGGGAAAATTACGCTTCCTTAAATATTTATGTATGCTAATCTTTGGCATAGTTTTCCCATCCTGAAAGGGTGTAGAAGGTTGCGTGGCAGACTCCTTATAATGCGTAAATACTAGAGATGATGAGCATGACAAGATGAATTGATTTAGATAAGTCTGCCTGTTTGTTCAGTCTGTTCGTCAGTCTATTCGTATGAGCACTGATTACTTTTGAACTAATACAGCTAAAAATACCAAACTTAGTATGTAAACTTATCGTATTCATATGCGGAGCAAGTTTATTATAAATTATACAAAGCTTTATTATTTTTTAAAACTTTCATAGGACGGATTGGCGCTGATATTAATTTTATGTACTGTTTTGTTTATAAAGATATTTTCCATTTCTTCACACCATTTGTTAAATCGGTTCACCGTAATATATAGCTGTCATAGAAATATTTTTGTGCAACAATGGTTGCAGATTATTCAAGAGTCAGGCTGGTACGGAGATAACGCAAGAAAAAGCAAGTATTATTTCGCTCGTTCGATAACATCGCTCTGATAACAACTTTCAATTAAAACTTTTGAAGTAAATAAATAACTATGCTTGATAATTTTTGTCCGATCCATTTGATATACAATCAATCTTAATTAACTTTCAAATAATTAAGGAACATGTTTGAAATTTGATTGATTCCGATGCCTTGCTAAAACAGAGAGTTGACAATCTAAGTAATTACGAGAATCAAGACAACGAATCAACTGTAGTTTTTTGTTTTTGGTGCTTGGCATAAGGAGTAGACAATACAAATATAGTTTTTCTTCTTTTGCTGCATCGAGTTTTTCAATTAGAATATAGAGCTTGAGACAGTAAACTAACTAACTTAATATTGTGACAAATTGTCCGAAACTTACAGAAACGGAAGGTCCTTTTTAAATAACTAAATGAGCATTTACAAAATTTGTTGCAAAAGGAAAATATTTACGCTCAGCTCCCTAACTGATTACAACATTCCAAAAATTTTGCGCTTCCTCACAAAAGCGAGCTATGCTTTTAAGCTTCTTCACACCCCATTAATCGGAGCTGTGCTATTTTTTTGTTTTGTTGTTGTTGTTGTTGTTGTTTCTTACGGACCTTTTCCGCCTTTCACATCTCTGTTTGTACCGCACATAAATTGGCTTAATTATTTTGCGCAGCTTCAATGCAGATGCCAAAGCAACAACAACAACAATAAGAACAAGTTTGAACTCAAGGGTACAACTGCAGCTCTAAAACTTTGGACAAAATGTTTGCGTTTTAAGTTTAATTATCAGCGAAATTAGTAGTGGCAACAGCAGCAACAACAACAAGAACAACTACCAACATAGAAAGGGCAGGGTAATAGTTTTAACAGTGGAAATTAAGCTGAGAAACGTTCAAGGACTTCCGTGTGCGACATAAAAGAGGGAGAGAGAGAGCAGGCAGAGTTGAGTTGAGCTGAGTTGAAGAAGCGCGGCTGAAAGAGTTTATGAATTCCAAAGCAGCATATGTTGCTGACGGCTAGGCGTTACGAAATTGCGCACGTCAACCGTCGAGCAGTTCTAATTTATATTGTTGCCCATTAACACGCGCTGTACTTAAAGTAAACTTTCAATTTGCAGGCAACAGCACGCCAACTGTGGAGGCACTGCACAGCACAGACATCGCCTGGACAAACAAGAAGAAAGCTTTCACTTTTGGGGAAGAGCAGGGACGGACAGGAACGGCCCAAAATACCTGCGAGTCCTGAATTTATTTTAAAGCGTAACAAAAATGCGTAATTGAAACACGCGCTCAGCCTACAACCAGCAGTCAGTCATCAGCAAAGGACAGATACAGATAGAGAGAGATCGCTTCAAATATTTGCATAAAGCGCTGCGAGGCTAATAACAACAGCAGTAACACAAAACTACAAAGCAAGAGCGGCCACAACTCGCCGAGGAGGTGGAGGAGGAGTGGTCAGAAAGGAAGGAAGACGGCGGCGGCGGCAACTGCGGCGGCGGTGGCGGTATAATAACGTAAAAACGCGCCTTCGGGCTGCCATAAAATATATATACACATATATATATATACGCCGTCAACAACTGACAGCGACAAGGACGTAAACCTCCAGCTCTGACGGTGACGTTGACAAAGCAAAAGCTTCACGCCGGCGCCAGCACCAGCGCCAACACTAACACCAACACCATCCACAGCGGCAGCGTCAACGTCAGCGGTAAACCTGTGCGACTGATTTATAGACGACATCGGTGGCTACGTAGCTGCAAATTGCATCCATTCCCAAAGCCGAACACCTCTCTCTGTGTTGGCACCTTTATAAAAAGAAAGACGCTCACATAAATACAAGTAACAATGCGCGGTCGTCATTTGCGTCGACGCTTCAGCTTGCAGCCATCGTTTATGAAGGATGAGAGCGCCGAGGATAAGCCGAAACGTGACAAGTAAGTTATGACTGTGATAATAGTTCTAGCGAGCTCACCGCGAAACAATAAGATACACACATTGGTCACAAATACAGGGTGTATTACGCAAAATATTGTGAGTGCTTTAAGACTTGATTCAAAAAAACAAATTCTAAAGAAAGCAATGTTTCTAGAAGTTCTGCACATACTTGTAAAACAAATATTCTTCACAACTATAGTAAAACCATAGGTGCTACATTTTGCAAATTGTAATTAATTTTTTTTATATTTTTAATTTTTTTAGCTACCTAAAAGAATAACATTTTGTCTATTTTCTATATAAAAATGAAATTAAATTAAAAATTATAAATTATTGTTTTTAAAGGGAAACAAATGTACCTTTTTATAACTTCAGATTACCCAAAGACATCTTTCTAATACGTATTTATTACAATGATTTTTGACTATTGCTTTTGAGCTTAAACAAATTTTGAACTCAAATTCGTTTTCTATTTGTTTTAATAAAAAAAAAAGGCTGCATGTTTAATGAAGTTGACAGGACAACAACAAGCAAATTCAAAAATGTATTCCAAAAGAATGTTTAGTCAAAGCGAATAGAAAATTGCAGGAGTGTGGCAGATTGTGATGTCCAATTTAATTTATTACATCACAGATGAATGAATATAAATCCGTTTTTCGACCTCTTTTGATAAGGTTTTTGTATTGTTTTTGAGTTTAGAGTTTCTATAAAGCTTCTCCTTTTCAGTTGCTGCTAAAAGTTAGTATTGTGCCAAACGCTATTAGTGCCATTTATCTATGTATGGAGATAAAAAGTACACATATAGTATGTGTGAGCACACACCCTTTATAGGCTGCACCTATGTATAGTATGTACGATTATATCTATCCAGAATATGCTCATTAAAGTTGACAGTGTAAGTTTCGACGCTCAAAGTTCGACAGGAGCTCGAGCGCATTGTTGGCTTCTTCCAACACAGAAATGTTGTCATGTTGTTGCCACTGACAAGCAGCATCAGTTTTTTTTATTTTTTTTTATTTATATACTCGTGCGTACATTGTGCATCGTCAAAACTTGGCATAGAGGAAAAGAAGTCATGAACATTCTGCTTGAAAATTCGCATTGTACATACACACCATACGCTTCTGACTCGTTCCGGCGATTACATGTTTCTGTTCCTTTGTCTTTAGTTCGTAAACTTGTTGTCCTTGTCTGAGCTGTGCTTGGCTTGTTTTCCCATGCCAGATAGACAGGCAGACTATCTCGGATTTTTTTAATCGCAAGCTGACAAGACGCAAATCAAAGCGCCACACAGCTCTCTGTCCGTCCGCTCCCCGGTGCCCAATTCGCACGTATTGAGTTCGCTTTTCCTGTCACTTCTGTCACTCAGATGGACCATTCATTACTCGCCACTCATAATTACAAGCATACTGTGCTTAAGCCATCGGTGTCATCTGTGGCTGGCTTCACCATGTCCACCTGACTGGCAGACTTATTTTCCCCTCTACCTCTACCTGTATGCAAAGTGCTCACCCGTCCATAACACTTTATGATGCATCTCACTTATGATTATCCATACGTCCTTTACCTGTTTCTTGTCGCCACCGTGGCGTATGATTAATTTTCAAGTACCGTACAGAGCTTTTAATTAGCCACACAGAGCACCGCCAACCATGCTGTCCAATGACTTCAAGTAGAAAGAAAAAAGGGGCAGGGGATAGAAACCGTTGGGAAGAATGGGAAGAATGCGAAAGAGAAAATATTTCATTTTCTTCTCTGCTTGTAAAACGCGCATTAAATTATGAAACATGCAAATAAAAAGAACAAGAAAAAATGAATAAACAAGTAAATCTGAAATATTTTAATTATCTCTGTTTCCCAACTGACAATGTACTTTGTCGTTATCCTCATTTAAAAGAAAAGTATGCACAACAATATCCGTTGAACGGATTTTATTATTAAGTAGTCTTGACATATAGCAGACTGAAGGGAAATAATTAAGACTATAAGCGTTTAACTCATTGGCTATCAATGGCTGAACCGATGCTGTCAGTTAAGTGATAATTTAATACGGCAGTTCGCACAAATTATCCTTCATAATAATATTTTTAATTGCCAGTTTTGGCATAATGAATACAAGCTTTTAGATCTGCAATTATTTGATATTTAACTACAATTAGTAAATGGTAAGAAGTTGGCTAAATAAACAAATAAGCCAGTTAAATAATTTGGTTCAGTGAAGGCTATTTGGTCAATTCAGAAATCAGGTTAATCGAGCGTATTACAAAACAAACAACAAGTCATTCGCTTTGCATATTTTAGTGTACTACTGGATATGCAATTTTTGATTATTTCTTTATTGTTTCAGAGGTCACTTGTAATTGCGCTGCCTACTTGTATATAGGTCAGTGCTTGTCTGTATAAGCAAAAACAATTAAAAATAACTAAAATTCAATTCCCATGAATGTTTCTGCCCAATTTGTTGGGCACACGGAAGGTGCCCCTTAATGGGCATGAGTTGTGTGGCACACACCCACATACACACACGAACATACATAACACCTTATGCTTTATATTACCACCATCTCCCGAATATACACGCTCACGGTGTTTCTCTCACCCGCACAGAGTTGGTCGGCATAATGCTGTGGACGATGCCATCGGACCGGCAAATGCACGCCACAAAATCGTTGTCATGGGCGCAGCCAAAGTGGGTAAAACGTCCATAATCACACAGTTTCTGTATAACACATTCACCACCAAGTACAAAAGGACAATCGAGGAGATGCATCAGGGGAACTTTTCAATTGCGGGCGTTAGTCTAACGCTGGATATACTCGACACCGCTGGATCCTATGAGGTGAGTGCAGTTTGAACTTATCTCACCAGAATATTCATTTGTTTGTTTTGTTTCTCCAGTTTTGTATACCATTTATTAAATAAGATCTGAAGGTAGAAATGTTTGCAAAGTATATGTATGTATGTATGTATGTACATACATATATATATATATAAATATATTTACATGTGTTTGTGCTTCCCTGTGTATTTCTGTTTGTGTTTGTGTGTGTGTGTGTGTGTGTGTGTGCGTTGATTAAGTGAATGAAATTGTTTGCGGCACCTGCTTTTACTCTTGGTCTCTCCCCTCTGAGCGTATGAGCTTTTCATTTTAAATACCTGGCTCTAATGGCTTTCAACAGGGTGCCGTCAGCATTTATGTGGTGAGAACACATACATATATTTATATATACGTATGCATGTGTATGTGTGTGTGTGTGAGCGTTACAGTTGACCGTCTCGTTCTCGCGCGCCTTTTGTGTATGCAACGGAAATTACAGTCTGCAATTCAATTTTTTCTTCTTTTTTTTTGCCACTTCCGTTAAACGCGCTTTCAAATGCCTTGTTCATTATATCTGATATGAAAGTGACAGCACAATGTGCTACTGTCTGTACATACATAAAAAGAAATATTGCCCATATACTAATATATATATATATATATATATATATATATATATATATATGTGTGTGTAATCATGTGATTATGTAAGAATGGCGGCCTCTCTTTGTATCAGACAATGCACAAATCATTGACAGGTCAAAAAATATCAAAGATACATATGTATTTAATCTACTATGGTTCTTTCCAAATGACTTATATGACCAGAGAGGTTCAATTTCTAATTTTAAAATATATTTATAAAATGCATTTCGAAATCGATGCGTTTAAACTGACGAATGTAGTGATAATTTAAATCGAAATATTTCAAATAAACCTTATGCGGCACAAACATGATAGGCATTCCGTTTATACCAAAATTAAGTGCCTCCGCTTCAATACTTGTCGATATCAAAGCGTTCAGATTGGCAAACAGAGAATCATTCTAATAATTGGGTAAACAAAAATGGAAATAAACATTTATTTTAACAATGCACGACTATATTTTGAATGAAAAGTGAAAATTATATACCATATAATTGTGGCTACTGCTGCAACACTTTTCGAAAGCAAAGCACTCAGACTGACAAACAGAGGCTCATTCAGACAAACAGGCAACCAAAGATTGTGCTCCTTTAGGATTAGCTTCAACACGAACATGACTACAACTCTAATATTTTAGTACAATTCACAACTTTGTTTCCATAAATTCACGGCCTGTCAGGTTCAAAATTGTAAATTTCTCGAACTTTATATTTAGCTACTCTACATATTTGTATTTACACATCGAAAAATATTTATTCATTCCATATGAAAAGTTCATTTCATCTTGAAATATTTACTGAGATATTTTTCTCGTCAGTAAATCAAAGTTTGCCAGCAATTGCCAAATTTATTTAAGTTGTGTATAAACAGATAAGTGCGACTATGAGTATATGAAAAAGTTTTCTTAAACGCAGACATAATTTCTTGAAGATCTGAACAAAGTTAAAAAGTTAAGTCCACGGGTAAATTGCAACAACAATGGCAAACTATACACCTACATTTGATTGTGTATATATTGCATATAGTATATATAAATACTTATGTATATACATACATATAAATAAGTAATATGTGGGAATGTGCTGGCACACATGTTGACATGTCATTGCCGATGAAGGAACAACAGCAGGACCGAGAAAAGTAACAGCAGCCACAGGAACGCCGACAACGATGATGACAATAACTTTTAGGTCGGGCAGGACCAACTCGCTCGCAATAACAACAACAACAACGGCACACAAAAAAAGCATATAAATTTTAACACATTTACGCATTGCTCATAAATTTCATGAGGCGTTGAATATGCCCCCGGGTGCAAACTCACAAATAGGCGCACATAAATCGCATAGTGGTCGCACACATACACACATGCCATATATGCACGTGTGTGTGTGTGCTTGTGTGTGTATGCAGGACAGCAAGCTCTATAAACCGTTGCGAGTGGCTAATAATTTAGTTTATGCTCTTCTAACGCACCACACTCGACCTTACAGCCAACAACACAGAGATACCACACATAACACGCATACACACACACACACACACCATATATATGGATGCAGGAAAATTGAATCGGGTTTTAGCTGCCCGCAGCTTGCAATCCCCAAACACCAGTTCCCATGCGAGCTTACACTCGCTCTCAGCCGCCTGTAGCGACATCCTCGACACAAGCTCGACATCCTCGACATCCATCGGCGACAGCGCAAGTGTGGCATGTTTTGGCTTTTTAGAACAAAGCGGTAGCTGGAAGCGCCTGAAAGTTCACACATCCGTTTGTTTAGTCATGCATCAGCTTAGAAAATGAATTTCAAATGCGCCTCAACTAGCTACAACTAGAGGCAAAAAATGTCGCCTCTCGTGTCTGTGTGTATTTGAATTTATTTCCATTTCTTTTTCGTAACTGCGAAAATTTAAGAAATTCGAATCTGTGTGGTGGGATGAAATGATTTGATTATACAGACAGAATTTTTATAAAAAGTCAGGTTTGTCCAAAGTAAAAGATATATGCACAAGAAAGTATTACATACATATATTCCATAATACCATGACGGGACAATTCGATCTAGACACATCCGTCTGTCTGGAGTTCGGTTACATTTGCATTTGAACATTTCTATAAATGATATTTAACTTATAGCTTATTTTCCGCCTTAAAGCTTTAAATTCTACAAATAAGACATGAATGCCACAAATCTTAATAAGATAAACCTTTGAAGCACTAAAATATTGAATTAACAAATTATTTAAAACAAACAAATAATAAAGCACTTAGGACAAAGTCCAGAGGTATTGGTTTTTCTGCAGCAATTTATGCTTAAATTAAAGTGTTTTAGTATCTATAAATATCTAATTAGCTTCGACATATTTTCTCTGTTTAAATTTAAAGCAAATGCTTGAATACGCCCACACACTCAATGAGCATATGTGATTAAAGGGGAATTCCACTTGATGGCAATATTCGTAATATTTCCCTAATAGTTATTTATTATAAAAGGACGTGAGTTTAAACAAACAATGGACTGCGATATACTCATACAAATAAAGTGCATATGTAAATAGGTCCTTTTTTCAGCTATTTAATTTGCATAAATATTTGGAATGTAACAAAATGCGATTTATTTCGAGTTCTTCTCTCGACTATGGGATGCAAAACCACAACAGCACAGCATTTAAAAAACCATTTATCTCGCAAAATATTGTGAATCATAAGTACAAACGCACACACGGCCGTACATACTCGTATACATATATGTACTATATATGTATGCATGTACTTATGTTTATTAACAAAACATGCACGCAACGTGGCAACAATTTGTTCAATTGTGGCAATTTGCATTCCATGACACTGCATAAATTGTCAAGTGCTAATTCATTCAGCGCATTTCATTTCAAACACACTCGATGGCAAGTGATAAGAAAACAAGATAGAATGCTACAGTCGAGCAAGCCCGACAGTAAAATAGCCTGTACTCTCCACATAAAAGAAAAATTTTAAAAAAAATTAAATTTAAAAAAAAAATGAATAAATTAATTAATTAAATTAAATTAGAATACATGTTTATGTTCAGTTTTAACAGCATACATTTACATCACGTACCTATGCGTGTTTATATGCGTGCATGTATGCAGCATAAAGGGCAGCGCTACCGGCAGTGCTGCAGGCAGCGCATGAGCAGCGATTTTATTTATGGCTATAACTTTCTTCAGAATTGACCTATAGTGATTGGCACACGGACACATAAGTTTGGTAATTCTAGCTCTTGTACCTTCTGAGATCCTTGCGCTCATACAGACGGACGGACAGACGGACATGGCTATATCGACTCGGCTTGTCACCCTGATCAAGAATATATATACTTTGTGGGGTCTGCCACGCCTCCTTCTGTGTGTTACATACATGCGCACAAAACTAGTATAGCCTTTCACCCTTTTGGTACAGGCTATAATGACAGAAATGTTAATTACACGATAAGAAAATAATTGGATACAGCTACCTATTAGAGCGAATAAGTTTTTAGATAATCCAAGCCATAGCTTATTTCTGTGAAACAAAACTAGACGGATCATATATTTTCATTAGTTCCCAAACTTCAACTCTGAAAATACCAGGAAGAGATAAGTATATATTTTGTTAGCTGGCTTTTAATTTGCAACGTATTGTCGGGAGTTGAAAAACTATTTACTTGTATATCTAAAGCACGCGCGAATTCCATCTACATATATACTTTATCGTTTCGCTACCAAAAACTTATTGACTCAATAAGGAACAATTCAAGCACAGTAATAATAATAATTTTTTCGTAATTTTCCCTCACTTACGGTTCGAATATTCAAACATTAAACATTAATTTCCTCAAACAAACTTTTAATTCAATTTTTCTGGTTTTGAGGTCCAAATTTCCATCGATAGGGCAACGCTATTTAATGAGTAATTATGATTCAATTATGCAGTGAGTGAATGAGTTAAAAAATATGAAAAAACTTTTAAATGTTTTATAATACAATATTGTTCAAAATTAAGCAAAAGTTTAATAAAATTCAAAAATACTATTGCATAGCATTTTATCTTTCATTTTTTTAATATATATATATATATTCAATACATTTTTTTTATTTATTCTTTCCTAGTGCGACAAGAAAAATTCTTATAGTTTTTATATTGTTCGTTACATATTTTATATTTTGTGCTTGTTTTTCTCCTGCTTTTTATTCTTTAATCCATACATTAATATTACACATCCGGCCTGACAAACTTTTCCACATTTTCGCACATCCTACCACAAGAAAAACCAAATGGCACGCGCAAAATTTAGTTTGTGTCAAAAGTGTCAAGTATTGTTTCATTAAACGCATTTAAGGGACATGCTATAGAA